TAAATCTCTATCTCTCTCTCTCTCTCTCTCTCTCTCTATATATATATATATATATATATATATATATATAGTACAGTTCAAAATCGTCGATAGTTGTACTAGCACGAAGACAAATTTATTTTTTTTATGTATTTAAATTTTTTGTTTTTTTTATTTACTTTTTTTATTTGTTTAGTTCAACGTATTAGCTTTGTTTAAAGTATGTTATATTTTCTACGTTGTATATAATTCACTTATTTGTATTCATCATGCTCTGCTATTACATAAGCAGTCTGGAGCGTTTCACAAGTCTCTGTAGAATTTTAAAAACATTTCTTTTCAAGAAAACTTTATTGCATATCGAGCTTCCAAATTGTCTTCCCGTCCCGATTGCTCTCAGTGTTTATTATGGTGTGTTCAAAGAACTGTTACAGCCATCTCCTTCAATCTGGACTAACAAAATTTGTCAGGTCAGCTTATTAGACGTATACTAATGATGTATTAAAATTACAATAATCTAAGGACAGTTATAACTGCTTCACTTAAAAAAGTTTCAAAATTTCTAGAATGCATCGTGGCGGAGATAAATTTTTACATAACAGCGTCGTGACGTTACAACAGAGCAAGATTTTGAGAGCCCCATTAAAAGGTAGTACACCACAGTAGTAGTCTGGCCATTGACACACAAGGTGCTTAGTGATCGACATGTCTTCAGAATACGATTGTCGAGCTGCTTTTGTCGGGAACATTCGTGTCGACCACAAAACCAAGGAAATCATTGAGTGGTTTAAATAATCTAAAATCATAGTCAACAAACTTGCAGGGGTATATGGAGCTTCAGACAAGGACAATTTCAGGCCAGAATGCAAGGCACATAAGAAGCGCTCTGGCACCACTAGAACGCCCGAGTTCATCACCGACGTTGCGAAGGTTGTCAAGGAGAACCCCGGTAAAAGAATGAGGGAAATCGCCAAGGAAATGGGCACCAGCAGACGCAAGGAGATGTTGAATTATAAATCTTATACACTCAAGAGGCGCCACTTGTTCGCCGTACCACTGGTTGCCAGATTTTGTGGCCTCAACTCATCACCAGACTCTAATCCTTTCAGCTATTTTGTGTGGGGCGTCTTGGAGAGGGAGATGAAGAGCATGCCCTACAACACCAAGGAGGCTCTCACACCAAGGTGACGACAAAAGACATCCCCCACACGCATATAAAATACACGAGAATATAAAATCCAACCAAATACAAAATTATTTGCAATATCTCGCTACATTTCACCGACCAAAAAACGAGGGTGACATCTATAGACATTCCTCACACAAAACATTTACACACATGAATTAAGGTTACCGTTCAACATACACCTAGACACAAAAGCGTTTCTTTACAGACACACGCTTACACTATCACACAATTTAATGTTCCTCACACATATTTATATCTTTTCTATTGCGTTAAGACACGTGACACGTATCTGACCAACTAGAACTAACCAAATATCTTAACATACAAGTACTCTGCTTTTTTTCATTTCTATCTTGATCTCTGACGAAACTTTAATAAAAGTGAAACATGTTAGATTGAGATACATTTCCTACCTGTTCTTTATTTTATTTTATCATATATATACATGTGTGTGTGTGTGTGTGTAGGTGTGTGTGGAAGTAAAATATATTTGTTCACCTTTGAATATTTTTGAAAATCTTCACATTTGTTCTGAAGTGTCGATATATTACTATGAAACTCCGAATAGAGACATTCAATACTAATATTTTACTTATTATTATTATTATTATTATTATTGTAGCATACCTACAGACGATAATGGGTATATCCCCATTCCCATAAATACAGTAGTATGTATTGGTCTGCAGTTGGAGATTCAGACCCAGCTGTGTTGGTCAAACTCTCCACCTCCGAGCAAAGAGGATCCCCAGACGAGGCTATGTTGAAGGGTAGAGTCACGTCTCGGGAAACAGCTACACAACTCCGTTTTATACGGCGTCTTTGGGGTATTTTTGGCCGAGCCTACGGGCTCGGATACCATACATTAAATTCGGCCTTTTGCCACATCTGACCGCGTGGGGCAGTTGGTAGGTATCCTGCAGTTGAAGATTCATTGTGGAATTCACTTGACTCACTTCTAGCAATTGACTACTTCTACGCGCTGCTGGTGAATCTTATATGTGTTGCTCTTGTCCTAAGTATTATCGCTCTTTACCAACCTTTGTGTGATTATTCTATTCAGTAAACTTCCCTAGGTTACGACAATTATTATTATTATTATTATGAATAATAATAATAATAATGATAATAATAATAATTATTATTATTATATTTATGCTCTATTCCTTGATATCGAGCTCTATAATTACAAAGACGGCTTACATTAAATATTTTATCTTCGAAAATTACTCTGGTCGACCGATTTGGGGCGAAATACAATCGTTGTTATTGTTTTACACACACAAACACACGCACGCAGACACACGCGCACACACATACACACACACTCGCAGACACACGCATTCACACACACATATATATATATATATAGTCTGTTTCAGTCGACCTTGTTTATTGATAAATCTGAATAAATATTCACGCCAAACGCAAACAAAAACAAAAATAACCCAGTAAAAATAACATAGGCACGCTGTAATAAAAATACTGACACAGACACAAATGGATGGGTAGCTTACCGATCCATGCAACTTTTAAAATTGTACCCATAAAAACAAATACAAAGAAATTAAAAGGGTCACACTAAGTAGATATATTACGATACTCAATACTAGCAGAACGATTAAAATTCCCGTTAAAGAAATGTACAGAATCTACCCTGCACTCAAATATATAGGACAGAAATCCTCAGTAGCAAATGGATTGAAAGTAGGAAAAATGGTTGCTGATATAGTCACCAACGCGCATGCGCATATTTGGAAATATTTGCACGTATGTGTCAGTGAGGTTAACTTCGAATCTCTATCAGATTTATTTTTCAAAATAAGTTTGGACAAAATGTCTCCTCCTTCAAATGCCGCTACCATTTTCTGTCTGGTCACCCGCAGAAACCATGAGACCATCCACAACTCACTCTCATTCCATGAACTGAGGTTTTATGAGTGAAGGAGTCCTTCATTTCCCTACTTGTCGATCTTTGACCAGGCAATATTTCAATTTGTTGACCCTTTATGACCCTTTATGGAAATTGTACACCGCCAAAAACAACTCTTTTTACTTGGCGCCGATGAAAGCATTTGATAATCTATGCGGGAACCTGTTACATGTATTTTTTTTTTGTTTCATTTATTCTTTTTGAGAACTGTTATTCTTGGAGAGTAGGCGTCGCATAAAATAAACGAACAAAACAAAATAGCTTCTATTTTAGGTCTGGAAAAAATAATATATATACCTCAAATATCTCACAATATTTTCCATGAAAATAATTCCTTTCATCACCCACTGAAACTCTTTTTTATAAACAAATGGTCTTTCATTCCCTGATACACACACACACACACACACACACACACACACACACACATATATATATATATATAAATATATATAAATATATATATATATATATATATATATATATGTATATATATATATATATATATATATATATATATATATATATATATATATATATATATATATATATATATGTGTGTGTGTGTGTGTATGAAATGAAAGACCATATGTGTGTGTGTGTGATATTTTTCTTAAGAAAAGTGAAAGGCGTTACTCGTAATCTACTGCATGTAGTTAAGGTAGGATTCCCAGGAGTACATTTGAATTTAATCATCAATAAAGAAAATTGAATCAGTTTCAACACGCGAGAATATATATATATATATATATGTGTGTGTGTGTGTGTGTGTGTGTGTGTGTGTGTGTGTGTGTGTGTGTGTGTGTGTGTGTGTGTGTGAAAATATATAGAAAATAGGAAGGAACTGGTTAGGTAAATAATCCAAATTTCCTTAGTATTTTAGTTATTATTTTTTAAAAATAGTGCTCGATACAGAAGTAGAGCATAAACGTTACGGCAGTTTTTTATATGCACAAATCCCTTTCATAAAAAAATAAAATAAAAAAATAAATAAATCTCCATAGACACGCATGCCAGACTAGAGTTAATACATCTTCCGTTTCAAATTTAGACACCCCCACCTTTCCCTGACTTGACATCCATGAAAGTAACTCTATATTGCTACTTATTATTAACACCCAACACACGCCTACCTAATTTAAACAATTCGCCCTAGCTGATTTCAATTATTAAAAAACGTAAATTTCAGAAATACGTTATTCCAAAAAAAAATTTCACTTGAAGATGGAACAGAGCTTACTTTAACTCAATTTAATTCAAATAATTATATTGATGTTTTCGGATCTTGTTTTGAAACATGAGACCTCTTATGTCGCGAGTTGGAATCATATTTTTAAATAAATAATTATATATATATATATATATATATATATATATATATATATATATGTTCTCTAGAAATATATTAGAGGGTGTGCGTTGTGGTGTAATGGATATCGGATCGAAGTTCGAATTCCAGTCAAGTTCGTTAGTTTCACTTACGCACTAATACCCTTAGGAAAGGTATGAATCCATCTCTTCTCCTCAGCTATGGGTTGAATAGCAGGACAGACTGGGTTCTTTAGCCTTAGTTGGCAACCAGTCTGCCGCAGAAAGAAATGGCAACCTAAATCGCGAAAACTTGTCAATGATGTATCGAAAGATACATGATCGCCCAAGCGTGTATAACGTATAATGTTCCAGCGCGTTTTGTAATTGTGCAACAGAGAGTTGATTAAAAAACGAAAATATTTTTGATACACCCCAATAAGTCATTCATAGTCGGATTAATGTCCTCCTTAGTCTTACTGTAAATAATATAAATAATTATAATTCGTCATTCCAGAAATTATCGAATTGGTATATACCAATGAATGAGGTAATTAGTGCTATTGTAAAGAATGTTAACTCCCCAACGGACACAGCATGTTGAAAAACTGATCCCCATACGATCACCGAAGTTAAGCAACGTCCAGCCTGGTCAGTACCGAGATGGATGACCGCTTAGGAATACAACGTGCTAGGAGTGCGGGTTGTGTAATGGATAATGGCTCGGAATTTTAAACGGCAGCCAATTTCCGATTCCGGTTCCGCTAAACTACCATTATCTAACAAAAATATCTTCCAGTCTAAAAAAAATTTCTGGCTTTAAATAACCTACAAATGCTGGACAAGCCGTAAAAAAACGAATCAATCGACTAATCCTCATCCCAGAAAATATTGAATCAATATGGCCACGATGTGATATGTCAATGGATGAGGACATTAGTTCGATTGTAAATAATGTAAATAATAACTCCTCATCACAGAAATTAAGGGAGAATCCACAATATTATTCGGATCCTCGCAACAAGGAATAGTTTCATCGTGGATTTTGTGACGTACGGTGGCCGTTGATAATTAAGTATAACTCAAGACTTCAGTGTTAAGATGAAACAGTATTTAATTACAACTGCAAATAAATACTTAACAAAAACAAAGAAGTAAAAGTCAATCAAATACAATTAACCATTTCAGTGAATATCTTGTTAGCGCAACTCGTCTTAACGTCTGGTAAATCCTAAATAAAAAATCAAATCATTGACGCCCAATGATTCACACTAATTCGACTGGATAGTTTCACTCAATAGTCACTCAATAATCACTGCAGTCAGTAGCCTTACACCGCTATTTATACACCTGGTGGAAAACATATATTCATAAATCCAGAGTGTCACGCTCGAACCTCGGTGTCGGTAGTTACTCATTTTCTTCCTATATGACAGTGGACTTTTGTCAGTGCCTATACAGGTTGAGTATCTTTTAACCGAAATTCCCAAATCCGAAACCCTCCAATATGCGAAAATTTCCCAAATCCGAAAGTTTTTCAGGTGCTGACAGGACTTACCACAAACGGAAATTTTCACAAATAGAGACGTTTTCTAGATGATGTGCAGCTGTTGTAAATAACCACATCTACCCTGGATGGGAGCTCCCCAGCCCAATTACGTAGCCTAAGTTGGCGCCAGTTTTTTGTTAGCAATCGTCGCAGCAACACCTTCGTTCGTGGATTACTTACCAGATGTTTCGTGCTCAGTGAAGATAGTATACAAAATATCAAAAAGACATGCATTTAAATATTTTTTGTAAGTAGTGATCATGTTTTTTTTTTTTGTTTTTTTTTTGTACACGTTCATGAAGTACAAAACATTATTTTTACGTGAAATCTTAATTTCACCACTTAAAAATCCGCGTGAACATTACATGACTAGCGTCAATTTGTTAAATTTTATATAAAACTACTTTCAGGATATATGTTATTTATATAAAACTACCACCAGGGTATATGTATAAGTTGTATTATGAAATGTAAAGGGATATCATGTTTGTTTGGATTATATTCCCAAGCTGTCCCATTTTATATATGTTATATGGAGCCTGAATGCATAAACGCATAATCTATTTTCAATGAAATGTTTTCCATTTATCAAATTCCTAAAAAAAAACTTTATGGAGATTCTATATCCTATTTTAATAACAATTATTGTCGAAACGGAAAACACATGGATAGAGCTAAAAACATTTTTTTTACTTTCAACCCATTCTGAAGGATTCGATGAGGAGTCGCCTTGGATTCGTTTCAGAAAAGAGGTTATATGAATTTCTTGCTTTAGAGTTATACTGAAAATAAGATGAGGATTTACCTTCAAGTCGACACAGAAAAGCTAGAAAAAATATATTGAAAACTTTCGACATGAAGTCAGAATTATAAAGAAAAGATACAGAATAAATATTAATGGCTTTTTTTTAAAGTCATTCATTTTCTTTCTTCTTTAATCACGAGAAACGCCAGTTTAGGGGAAAAGTACTAAGATTTCATTATTTAAACATACACACAAATACATATGCACGCATTTCTTTCTTTCATTCCCCCCCTTTTTTAAGCATAGAATGGCGAAACCCGTAATCAAATCTATTTTTAATCAAATCTATTTTTAATCAAATCTATTTTTAATCAAATCTATTTTCAATCAAATCTATTTTTATTTGTCAAATTTCTTAGATGCTATATGCAAATTAAATAGACGGTATTCCAAAATCCGAAAAATATGAAAACGGAAGCACTTCCGGTCTCAAGAATGTCAGATAAAGGATTCTCAATCTATAGCAATGACTTTGTGCCGTATGAATTATTTATGCGACATTACTTTTCGAACAGACTAATATTTAAAACTGCTTGAAACGACTGATACTTTCGCTTTTTCAACGGTTGCTAAGGTCATGTCAAGCAGAGGCACAGAGGTGGTACACTCTGAGGGATTTGATGTTATTGTGAGACCAGTCTTCCATTGACTGGAGAAACTAATCCAAAATATTGGAATTAATTCCTTTCAAAGCAGTTTTAGTCTACAAGAAGATTGGAAACGGCTCGATAAATGAGCTTTTAATTAATTTATTTAGCTAGAATTTCCGATCTCAATTTCTTGGGTAAATTAAAGACATTTTCTTAATAGGTATGGAAAGGTTTCATTTCATTGATACCGATAGACGCGGAAACACATTCTTCGACGGATATATTTAAACTTTATCAAGTATATTTGATCGGATGAATTAATTAAATAAACACAAACGTACACACACGCGTACACACACACACAAACAGTACACACATTTACACGCACGCATACATCAATTTACAAACAAAAGTGCACACACAAAATACACGCAGACAAATACCCGGATCAACGCAGATACACATACACATACACACACGCGCATACACAAATTCAAACACACAGAAACCTACATGTGAATAGGAACAAGTGTATGTACATATGTATATACACATGTATATGTATAGATCACGATCATGAGTCTGGTAATCCATTAGGGGAACACATGTACTGTGTCTATTGCAGCAGTGCTATGCCTTGGGCATCAGAGCCTGACGGAGGAGGGACAGGGCGGTGGATCTAGAACTATAGCAAAGTGTAACAACTAAAATGCGTTAAAGATTTACGATCATGCTATATATATATATATATATATATATATATATATATATATATATATATATATATATATATAAACAATATTAGAGAAAAGTGTATGACAAAGTGTAAAAAAAGTTTTCTTGTGACGCGTTTCGTACTTGAGGACTTCTTCAGACTAAATTTACTGTGTGCGACGACACGAATGAGGGATGCTGGGAATTTTAAATTATTTTTTTTTTATTATTTTAATCAAAACAAAATTTTAAATTCAAAATTTGCAGTATCTCTCGTTCGTGCGCATGTGTAGTCGCAACAAAATAACAAATTTAATTAAGTCCTAAAGGACAAAACGCGTCGCAAGAAAAATTATATATAGATATATATATATATGGTAATGGAATGTACCTCACATCTATCTATCTATCTATCTATCTATCTCTATATATATATATATATATAGGTGGCCTGACGATTGCGTTCAGTATGAAACAGCCTGTCGCCTCTGAGTGTTGACTTCAATGTTTATATATATATATATATATATAATTATTTATTTTAAAATATGATTCCATCGCAACATAAGAGTTCTCATGTTTCAAAACAAGAGCCGAAAACTTCAATATAATTATTTGAATTAAACTGAATTAAAGTACCAAGCTCTATTCCACCTTCAAGCGAAATGTTTTTTTGAATATATATATATATATATATATATATATATATTTTCTGTTTTATACTTTTTTATAGGGATATACTTATTTGAGTAAATGCCCTGTTTTTTTTTTTAATTAAATCGATTTAATTACATTTACCGGCCTGAATGTCCAAGAAATTTCGTAGAAAATATGACCTCCGACCGGAATCAAACATTCAGGTCAGTAAATGTAATTAATATTGTTTAATAAAAAAAGAGCATTTATTCAAATAAATGTATCTATAAAAAACGTATAAACATAAAATATATTAAAATATTTGTCAGATCTAATACATTTCATATCATATGTTGTCCTTGTTTACGTTAGGCTACAATTTCAGAGCAGATATGAGAGATCGAGAAAGATCGGCGAAGGTGTGCGCTCAAAAGCAGTAATTCGAGCTTTGCTAAACCGGAAGTTATCTGCGGCTGACCGTCAGAGCACGTCAGGATTATTGACGGTTCCGTATAGGATACAGACTCGATCCCTGTCGGGGTACGCATATTTCCTAAGAAATTTTCTCAACATTCAGGCCAGTAAATGTAATTAATGCTGTTTAATTAAATAAGTGTATACATAAAAAAATATAAACAGAAAATATATTAAAATATTTGCCGGATTTAATCCATTTCACACACACACACACACACACACACACACACACACACACACACACACACATACATATTCTTTAATGGATTTAGTTTTAATACGGTATTTTTATTACATCAAATGTTATTTTTAGTAGCTACCCTTAAATGCATACCAATCTTACATCTTACATCTATCGGCCTGCGCACTCCTGAAAACTTAGTTATGAAGTGGTGTTCTTCGAACTTGCGCCACTCTTTGAAGGAGTGACCATCGCTTAGGCGATCATGCATCGAAAGATACATGACTGACGAGGCAGTTGGCTGCCATTTCTTTCTGCGGTAGACCACTTGCCATCCAAGGCTAGAGAACCTGGTCTGTTCTGCTATTTACCTATAGCTCGGGGGGGTATGAATCATATATATATATATATATATATATATATGAAATATATATATATATATATATATATATATATATATATATATATATATATATATATATATATATATATATATAGTACAGGTAATCGATCCGTTGGTATATAATCCAGGTGGATCCTAGTAATATTAATTATTAAATGAAACAGACACTTATGGGCATATAGACCAGCGTAAAATAGACTATCCTCATGTTGAGGCAATTTTGTTTTTTGTTATATATATATATATATATATATATATATATATATATATATATATATATATATATATATATAAGTAAAAGGTTTGTGACATTGTTAATTGATGTTATCTTCAGCATC